ATAGCGGCGTAAAGAACCTCGGCCAACTCCGGTGCCTTGGCATGATAGCGACAAGGCAAAAACATGGCGAACTTGGTGAGTCGGTCGACCACCGTGAGAATCCCATCCACTCCGGTCTTGTGCTTGGGGAACGGCCCGGTAATGTCCATGACAATCGCTTCCCTTCGCCGCAACGGGACTGGCAATGGTCGTAACTCGCCGTACGGACGATGGTTGCGGGATTTGCAGCGTCGACATACCTCGCATGACTCGCAATAGCGCGTGACGTCGCCGAGAAGGCCGGGCCACCAAAATCGCTAGCGAAGTCGGCCAATCCTGCGATTGACTCCAAAATGTCCAGTGGCGGGAGCGTCGTGGAACTCGCCAAGAAGCCGTGTGCGCAAGTGAGGATCACTCGGTACGCAAAGAAGGTCCTTCCCCCGCGTGTGGACAAGCAAGTACCCCTTTTGGATCCGGTAGTGAGAAAGAGCCGGTTTAGGAGAGGAGCAATACGCGTACTTGTCACAAAACTCGGGGTCGGCTTGGTAGCCGCGGATGAAGCTGTTCCGCAGGTCGTCGTCAATCTCGAAGGTCGAGTAGACTGCGGTACAATGGTCCGGACGCCGTGAGAGAGCATCCGCAAAACGGTTCGACTTTCCGGGAATGTGATCGGGAAAGAAGTCGAACTGGCCGATGAAAGCCATCCATCGAGCGATGGTGCTGTTGACGGTGTCTTGGGTCTTGTAGAAGACCAACGGATTGTTGTCCGTTACCCATCGAAATTGGCTTCGACCAGGGAGGAAGTGCCACCGCCGCTTGAGCGCGTGGACGAAGGCGAGGAGCTCCTTCTTGCGTGCATTGTCAATGGAATGCACGAGAAGCACTTTCTTGCTGAAGTACTCGACCGGGTGCCAGTCCACACCATCATGTTGCTCGAGGACTGCACCAATGCCATAGCCTGACGCATCCGTAGTGACGCGCGTAGGCGCAAGCGGGTCGTATATCCGCAAGACCTCCGCAGACAATAGCGTGGCTTTGAGAGCGAAGAAGGATCCTCGCGCCTCCTCTCCGAAGTCAAACGGCCGATCCTCGCACTGAAGCTTGTTCAAGTGGGCCACGATCTTTGAGTAGCCTTTGATAAAGCGCTGATAGTAGCCGGTAAGACCGAGGAACAAGCGGACATCCGTGACGTTCCGAGGCTCCGGCCAGTCTTGGACGGCCTGAATCTTGTCCGATAGCGGATTTATGCCCTCCGGTGTAACAAAATGGCCCAAGTATTCCAGCTCTTGCCGGACAAATTCGCACTTGTCGCGGTTGGCCTTGTACTTGGCACGGCGGAGCGTCTCCAACACTCGTCGAAGATGTCCAAGACGATCCTCCAATGTCCGGCTATAGACGAGAATATCGTCTAAGTAGACCAGCACGAACCGGTCCAACATTGCACGAAACTCATTGGTCATCGCCGCCTGGAACGTCGCCGGGGCGTTGGTGWGGCCAAAAGGCATGACCACCCATTCAAAATGCCCGTACCGCGTCTTGAACGCGGTCTTGTAGCGATCGTTCGGCTGGATCGAGATTTGATGATATCCCGATTTCAAATCCAACTTGGAAAAATACTTCGCGCCGCCCAGTCGCTCAAGAAGATCGTCGATGTGAGGAAGAGGCCCCGCATTCTTGACGGTTTGCGCGTTGAGCTTGAGGTAGTCGATACACAATCGTAGATCCTTGTTCTTCTTCCTGACGAAGAGAATTGGTGCTCCATATGGGGAGCTACTCGGGCAGATCCAGCCCTTGGCCAACAAATCATCGAGTTGTGCGCAGAGGACCTCAAGCTCCTCCTCGCTCATCCGATAGATGCAACCTTTCGGCGGCACGGCACCGGCCTCAAGAATGCTCTCGTGAGAGATAGGCCGACCCGGCACCACACCGGTAGGTGACTCGAAGATGTCGGCGAACTCGTCCAGCAACCGTACCACACGGGGGTCCGAAGACAAGTCCGTGGGTGAAGAGTCGGCTACCGCGACGGTCCGTGGGAAACATAGGCCGATCTCCTCGGGCTGCTCGTAAGCGCAAGCTGCCCGGAATGATTTGGCCGTCACCACTTGGCACCGGATCGAAGAGTGCAGTAGAGGAATAGTACACGCCACTTCCGCGCCGAAGGCGTCGCGAACGCTAAGAGTCCGCCGATGGAAGTTGACCGTGTGATCCACACTTGCAAGCCTAGGCATTCCCAGAATGATGTCGAAGTCCGTGTCGAGAATATCGAATGTCACCGGTTCGCATGCATGAGGTGCGAAGTAGACCGATACGGCCTCGATGTAACGGTCGAGAAGTTGTTGCCTCTTTCCATCCGCCAACAGGATCGCCGTCGGGTTTGCCTTCCTCCGAACTTGTGCGCCAAGGCCAGCCCTTTGCATAAAAGACTGGCTCATGAAGTTGCGAGACGCGCCGCCATCCCGCAAAGCGCTGCAGGACGCTTGCCCAACCTGAATGCGGACATACATGAGCGGTGCGTTGTTGTCATCGTACCGCTGCGTGCGAAACTCGCGGGCCACCTTGGTAGTATACGCCAAGATGTCCCCCACCGCGACTTCGTCATCCGTCGGCGAAGTTGGTGGTGCATAGAAGGATAAGTAAGTGTGAAGATTAGCGCTGAGTGCTGCGCATTGAGGTCCCGACAAGCGGCCTGTGGTTGGGAAAGGAAGCCATGCAAAGTCCTCAGACGTGAGCGGGTCCAATGCCTCTATATTGAACTCGCGTGCCGAATCCCGTGAAGAACCACTTGAAGACGAAAAGTTGCGGTTGCCGGACGGAGAAGAAACCGCACACACTCCTTGTCCTTGAGCTGGAGTACCCAGCGTAGGAACGCACCGGGCAGCATAGTCCTCAAAGGAAAGTAGAAGAGGACTACCGACTTCCACGTGCGCCTCGGAATGAAGGCCGGTTACTCGCGAAGAAACCGGTTCCGAAGGCGTCGAGGGTGTCGTCGAGTCACTCTCGGCGGTGCTCAGTTTCCCTGTCTGCCCTTGCCTTTCAATGGGCAACCTTGCGTCTGATGGAGATCGCTGTTGCACCAAAGGCAATAGTGGAATCTCTCGCGCGCCTTGAATGCGGACTCGGAGATGCCATACTGGGTCCATGGGCCTGTCTGAGCTGCCGCACCGGGCCCGGGGCTAGATGCGGTGTGTGTCTTCGTCTTGCCACGTCCTCGGCCTCTGCCAGGGCGGCCACCTTCCCGGGCGGCTGCGAATCTATCCCCTTCACTGGCAGACACAGCCTCGCTGGTTTGGTCTAACGGCGCTGCCGCTGCGACCACGGCCACTCTTGGCCGATGCTGGTCCCTGCTCGGGCCTGACGCAGATGAACGGAGGTTCTTGGCCTCCTTGTTTGTGATAATGATCTGCGCAGCCTTGTCGAACAACTCCGCCGTCGTCGTCAAGGTGTCCTCGACATGAGTCAGGGCATTGCTTAATGCCGGACATGACCTTGAGATGAAGTAATGGCGGATGGCCTTGAAGCCCATCTGGATGTCTGGGACTGACGTCAAGCGTTGGTACTCGATGATCCAGTGCGTACTCGGCAGCGTGCCTTGCTCGAGGACCATATATTTACCGGAGAGCGGGCGTTACTTACTATGGCAGCAGAATGGCGAACCGAGGCTGAGAATAGCCAGTTGGAGGATAGCGCAAACAAGATAGCGCTCCTCCTCTCGCATCTCACGGATCTCCTGGCAACCTGCATTACACAGCAGGCACAGATCCTTGGTCTCGACAGATCGCTAGCTCACCTCCAAGACCGTTTTCAGCGGTTGGAGCAGCGACCAGTCGCCGCCGCCAACGCAGGTTCTTCCAATACTGCTGACCGCCTCAATGCATTGGAGATGCACGTCGGCTCACTCAAGGATGGCGCACAGTTATAGCTCACCGCGACGCAACAGTTGCAGCAGCGGGTCTGTACCACCGCCACTACCTCGAGTACGGAGCCGCGCGAGACAACTCCAAAGTTTGACGGGCAGGAGATCTTCTGCGACTCCATGAAGACAGATCCGATTCCATGGTTCCGCAAGTTCAAGCTCACGTTGCAGTTGTCCAACATCAAGGAACACAAACATCACGCCTACTTGTACTCTCGCTCAGGGGGCGCGTGCCAGGCTTGGTTGGACAACCTCCTGTCCAAGTACGGAGTGGTAGCGGCCGACTTACACACCAAGATCAGTTGGGATGGTCTGAAGGCGGCATGGCACAAGCGGTTCCCGACAGCCCTTGCTGCTGCCTCGTCATGCTGGCGCTGTTGTTCAACCGCCACCACACGTGCCTGCTCGGCATCCTCTGCCTGCTCGGTACTCCAGGCCAACATGCGGGCCTGATAGGCCTCGTCTGTTTCTCCGGGCCTCTGGTCCATGACTGCTGTATGTGAACGCAACAGCATAGACCAGGCCGAGGCCTGCTGCTGGGGTATCCCTTGCTGCTGACGTGGCGCTGCTGACGTGTCCTGCTGACGTGGCCTGCTGACGTAGCCTGCTGACGTGGCCTGCTGACGTACTGACGTAGTCTGCTAACATGGCCTGCTTACGTGGTCTGCTGACGTGGTCTGCTGACGTGGTCTGATAACGTGGCCTGCTGACGTGGCAACTCACCAATGCCGCCGCAGGGGGTACCCGGATACAAACAGAAACGRCAAGGCGAGAGATGGCAACAACATAGGTGGGGAGGGGTGGGTGGGATAATCGCCCAACTCACACTTAGATAAGGAGCCACTAATCAAAACAGAAAAGTTCGAACTTTGCAAAAAAAAAAATTCGAGAAAAATAAAAATCCCGATTTTTGCAAGTTCGGTAGGTCTCCCAATCTCCCCTGAAGTACAAAATGATCACTAAAAACGAAAACAAATTTGACTTTAGACTGCTAATGATTTATAGAACTGGACGACAAAATCCCAGAACTGCGAAAAAAATTCCGAATAGAAATGGCAAGTATTCGGATTTATTCCGATGGGAATATTCGCAGTTTGGAACGTAATACCGCAGGAGGTATTTCCCGTACCGTTTTCAGAAAAACGAATTTCAGAGAAGAAAATATTCCGAATTTCTAAGTAACGGGAAATGCAACAGGAAATCGAAACTTTCGAAAAGAAAAATATTCCGGATTTTCAACAGCGAAATTTCGAATTTTCAGAAAGAAAACGAAAATGGGAATTTCAGATGTTGCGATATTGCGATTTTCCACTACAGAACGGCGAGAAAATAAAATCCGAGAAAAAAAAAAAATTCCGATTTTCGATAGTAAGGTCAAGATCGTGATTTTGGGGTCTAACTAGTATATCCTAATCCATCAATAAAGACTAACTAGCATTTTAGTCCCCGCACACGTGTCAGATCAGGTTGTCCTGATTCACGTGCAAAGCTTCGATACCAACTGTTACATGCACAGATATGCAATGTACGTAGTAACCGAGGAACTGCAATGTGATGAAAAGGACTGAATGGACAAT